AACTGAGATACATCATGTACAGGTACAAGCACCCAATGATAAATGTAAACATACTGTATACCTAAAATGTACTAATTAATATATAAAATTTTAAAAATAAATAAATAAAAATAATACTGAAGGGCCGGGGATTTATCTCAGTGTTTCCGCTGGCTGCCTCGCAAGTGCAAGGACCTGAATTCAATCCCCAGTACCAATACATACATACATACATACATATGTACATACATACATACATAAATACTGAAAATATTGAATAAATGCAGTTCTCAGGCCTCTTGTTCCTCTTGCAGGGTATGTTGGTTTTATTTTTTTTTATTTTCTTCCCCTTCTACTTTGCATTCTCCATCCTAGGCAATGGGGCACCGCAAGGCCCCCAAAGATACTGCACTGACATTCTCTCATGCATGCGGTATAGTCCCTAGGTGGAGGGGGCTCCTTCCAACACCAGCTCAGGGGGTTAGTGGGTTGAGTGGATGATAGGTAAATGGTCAACAGAAGGCAATAAAACTGACCCAAGCACTGTTGATCTCAGCTCCCCCTGGATGATAGCCCTACTTCCTCTTGTAGTCTTCAGAAGTTACTGCGTGTACATATTTAACCCTAATTTTATGTAAAGAATAAGAGATTCATACAGAAATTTTTGTCAGGGTATACAGTTGTCAAACCAAAAAGAAAAGAGATAAAACCTTAGTTTTTATCCACTTTGAAGCTATCCGTGAGCCTAACTTGAAATCAATAGCACTATTGTCATACACAATACTACATGGGTTTTCAAAACTTTATCATACTCATTTAGTGACATTTTGTATAGTTGTTAAAATAGAAAATGAAAAAACATTAAGCCTTCCCACAGGTAACTAGAATTGATGGTGTAATAGGGAAAGAAAGCCCATTTCGTATCTGTATTTTGATAAGGGTTGTTTCTCAGTGTAGTTGAGACTGAATCCCCATCTGACGGCCCAGGGTGGGGCAAGTCCCCACAATGAGTGTTTGTGGAGTGGCTCCACCTCCAGAGTGCTAGGCCCGAGCACCTCTCAACCTGCAGAGGAAGGAGAGGGGTGTACGGCCACCCTCAGCCCACTCAGCCCAGCGCGGGGCCCCAGGGCCGCTCAGCAGTTACCATGGAGACTGGACAGCCCTTGAGTGAGGGCTGGATCCAGACACCACTCCAACCGCACCAGTCCTAAGAGTGAGCTTCCTGCTGAACTTGGCAGGCTCCAGCACCCAGTGCGCAGATCACAGAGCAGCAAAAGGCTCAGAATGCCCTTCAGGGCTTGTGCTGGGTCTAGTATCGCTATGAAAAGTTTCCCTTAACATCCACAATTAAGGCATTTTCCCTTTTCGAAGCCTAATCCTCCCATCTCTTCCTGAGGGCAGGAGGTGGTTCCATGTGGGTGTGACTTAGGTACACAAGTCAGAAAATGAACCTCGATTTTCCTTGAAGCTGCTAATGAGATTGGGTCCTAATACCCACAGCCAAAACAAGGGTGAGTGTATAAAATATAATATTGTATCATTTGTATCAGGGTGAAAATAATTCAGTATCAACTCCTTAGTAAAGTGTTATTTTTAAAGACTGATTATTAACAGGAATTTCCCATTTTTACTTAATCAATAGGTTAACTTAGTCATTAGCCAGTCAAATATTTTTGAGCATTTTCCTATGTAGAGCACTGTGCTAAGCCCTACATGAACAAATCACCAGACAAAAGCAAGAGAAAAGTACAGCATCTTTCACGGAGTTCTCATTTATTTCTTATGCAGAGAAGCCACGGGAGGCTTGCTTTGACCCCGGGAACATCATGAACGGCACCAGAGTTGGTACCGACTTCAAACTGGGCTCCACGGTCACCTACCAGTGCGACTCTGGCTACAAGATCGTGGAGCCTTCGTCCATCACCTGCGTGATTGGGGCCGACGCGAAGCCCTCCTGGGACCACATCTTGCCCTCCTGCACAGGTGGGTACTGCCTGGGGCTTGGCACAGGGCCCTCAGGAGCAGCTCCATGAGCCAGGGCAGTGCTGGGAGCAAGGCTGGCAGGTTGCAGCAGTTGACATCCGTCCCTCAGTTACCGGGCCTGCCCTAGGCTCTGCTCGCGGGCTCTGGACAGATGCCTCTCCCTTTCACCAAGGTGTCTGACACTTTTCACTTCTGTATTTGAGGCCCGAGCTACCTGAGAGGTACGAATTGACATTTTCTAACTGCTTCTCTCTCAAGAAATAGATCAATAGATAGCTTGATAATGACCGATTGATAGATGTGTAAAGAGAGAGAAAAAAGGAAAGGAAGAGAGGAAGATTTAAAAATACACATTTTGAATTGATGCATCATTTTTACGCAGAGTATGGTTTGTAAAACTTCGTAAAGGCTCCCTTATTAACGTAAAATGAGCCTTTAAGAACAGAGCGAAACTCAGCTCTCTGGGGACAGAGGTCAGAGAGCAGCTGCCCTTGTGGTGACCTGCAGGTGTTGGAGACATCCTGGTGTTGGCCTGGCTGTGTTGTATTCCAATGCCTTCCTGGATTTCCAGCAGGTGATGGCCCTCCAGAGCTGAGCCTCAGAGGCTCCTAGGTAGGCACTGGAGAAACAGGGCTGTGTCCACTCAGTTAGAACCTTCACTCGCCTAGTATGAGCAAGGCCCTGGGATAGAGGCACAAAACAAATTAAATAAATCATTTCTGTAAGGTAGAAATGCATGTTGTATCCCAGAAAAACATGGTTTTCTGGGTTATTTTACAATGCACTAAAGGACCAGTTCAGTTCAATAAATTGAATTTAGGAAAGGAATGTGTTTTCCACCTCTCTAATAATGTTGCTGGTGCCCTCTGATCAAATAAGGCTTTAAAAAATGAGCACATGAAAAATCAAAGCAAACAAACACACGAGACCTAATTTACCTGTACCTTCTGCTATTCCTGTGCTTAAATCCATCACCCCCGACCCCCAGGGCATTCAGTTTGGGCGTCTTCTCTGGCAGGACCAGCACTGCCAGATAAAGGAGTAAGAGCTGAATTGAGATTTCTAAGGCATTTCTAGTCAATGAATGGATAAAGTAAATTTTGTTGAAAAGGTCTACCTGTCAGTCGGCCAGTTCTTCCGTCTTTTACCCATAGCAGTAAAGACAGGAACTTGTTACTGCTTTTCTTGGGCAGAAGACAGGTGAATCCAATGACAGCCGCTTGTAGCAAGCTCCCCTGCAGGCTTAGTGACCCAGGCTGACTGTCCCTTTGCTGTGTCCTTCAGGGGTGTGGGCACCCAGCTGTGTTTCTAATCCGATGTAAAGGCCTTGGAGGTTATGTAAGAGGACCAGGGTACTGGAGAAAAAACAAGGATGGAAAATTCAGGAACAACCATGAGCCTGATGAATTGTAAATAATAACACTAAGGGAATTTACTTTGCACTGTATTCAAATGTAATTTGAATCTATGGAAGGGTGGCAATACTTTAGCCACAGAATAAACATGAAACAGTGAAGTCCTATTTGGGCAAAAAAAGATGAGATCAAATTTTGAATCAAAGATTGTTATTTTTCCATGTCTGAAGACCTGTGAATTCTAGCATGGGTGTTTGTTGTTGTTGTTGTTGTTATTGTTATATTCTTGATTTTGATTTACAGTAATCAAAACTCAGAAACCATGGAACCTGGCATTCTGTTTATATGCCCCAGGCATCTGGGGTGGAGGTGCTGCCCAGCAGTTTCTCAGGATGTGCCTGGGCAGGGGTCCATGTCTGTGGTTGCTCACAGTGTTATAGAATTTAAGAAACAAGAGAAACCACAGGAGGAAGAGGAGGATTTATTCCAGGATTTTAGGTGCGCACCACCTCAGTGAACTGGAGTCCAAAGGCTGAGCCTAGAACAAAGAAAGGGCTCTAGTTTTATACATGTTGTCAAGGAGGAGTGGGTCTCCCTAGGGACATGAAACCTGGGGACAGAAGCTGAACAAAGACAGTTAGCCAAGTTTGTGACAGTTTTGTAACTTAGATATCTTGGTGTATTTGGTCAGGTAAAAACAGGATCTTATGAGAACAAGAGGTTGTGGAACCTTATTTACAGGGACAAAGTTACTAATTTTATTTTTGACAGGACAAAGAACAATAGTGTAAGGAAGGGGAAGTCTAGGGGGATTTGCTTAGCCTGGGGAAACTTGCTTTGTCTTTTTTGGTAAGTCTTGCTTCAATAGCAGTGTGACGTTGGGAGTCTTGCCTTATTTTTGAGCATTTTGATGGTTTCCATATGGTAGGGCACAGGCCGGGCTGGTCCAGTCTGCTTAGCTTTATGAGTGTGCTCTGTCCTGGTGATTCTGTCTGTCGCCTACAGCCTTTGTCTCTGGGTTTGCTGTGGAGTTGGAGCTGAATTGCAGTGCCCAGTGTCCATTTCGTGGGCTCAGTGGCTCTGTGGCCCATCTTGTTCTCCACACACTCAGTCTGATAGCCTTTGGTTGCCTCATATGGATGGGGCAGAGATTCCACTTAACAAAATGGATGCGTGGTCCCTTTCGATCATCTACGTGACCTCTCCGGCCTGTCTTTATTCAGTTAGAAAATGCTTTAATAGGCTGGCACCAGACAGTAAACTGACATATGCTTATTCTTCCTGTCATTCCATTAATATAAATTAACTTTAAACAGGAGAAGGATTGTGCCTGCTTCATAGTTTAACACAAGAGCATGGAAATAATAATTATTAGTAGTTCAATGAAATAATAATTAAATGAAAACTCTCCATGTATGCTTATCAATTTCAAAAGCATTTGGCTGAGTCTGGAATGTATTCTGTAGCTTTGGTGCTTAGCCTGTCAATCTGAGAAGGAAGTCTGGACCTAAGCATGATCCACCAAGGCAAATAAAGACCAGAAGGCCAGTTTTCCTTCATTTCATTTAGACTTTCTTTTACTATTCTGTTGTCACAAGATAGCGCTCTTTTATTCTACCCCCAGACAAAGCAAATCTTTGTAGTTTTACCTTAAGAAATAGGTCAGAAAATGTCCTTGATTAGAGTGTTTCCCATTCATGAAATTCTCACATCAAAATGTTGGCCCAGCGATAATATTTTCCCCCACTTTTCATTCAAACTTCTTGTGTCAAATTTGAAGGAAAAGAATTGTTTGGCTGGGAGAGAGGTATTTGCAAAATGATCTACTTGAATGTTACAGGACTTGGGAAAAATAAAATGAATTTCCATTCTTCATTTCTAGTTATTTTTAGAACTTTGACCTTCAAGCTTTCGAGGGGAAATAAGATAGTTCTGAAATAAGGCTGAATGAAACTGAGGCTGTCACCTCGAATCCGTCCACCTTGAAGATCAGTTTACAGAAATGTCCTCCACCTAAAGTTGAAAATAGCAATTTTCTGTTGACACTTGTGAACATGTCTGTGGGGGTGTTATAATGATAAATTTTCCTGAATTAAACATTAGCACGAGGCCTTGCTGAGTCTATTCCGTAAAATCTCTATTAGCTGGTCGTGGACAGCATCAGAGCCATCAGATCCCCAAGCTGCTGTCCTTTGACTCAGAATGGGACTTGAGTTTTCCAAGCCATGCTAAAGCAAGGATTTGGGAAAATCAGTTGATGGATCATTAAATCTCTTGACAAATCTTTAATGGGGTGCCTGCACATGGGCATTATGGTATTTCAAGGCATCCTATTAATCTTGGACATCATTCTGTCCATCAATTAGAATTTAACAGTGTGCTAATTAACATTCAAGGGGTTAAAGCCGCTATCTCTAATTTGTATTATTTTGATACTTAAAAATTGCCATATGAAGAATAAATGAGCTGTAGAAATATAAATGTTCTCAGACACTGAATTCTAACAGGGACGGTGCAACCAGGAAACCAGTTAGAGTCAGGCCACACCCAGCAAGGGCAGCTTGGAGCTGAGCAAACTGAAGGGCACCAGCCTCGATTTGCATCAGATATGTGGCATGGAAGTGCTGGTGACTTAATTCAAAAACTGAGCACGAAATCACCGCGACTCAAACGGAAGTCTATTTCTTGGTGCTTAAAGAGTGTTTTAAGCATGTATAGTAGAACATCTTCCTGTTGGTTTTGATTTTTTTCAGCAAAAACCAGGGTAAGTGAGATAATGGGGGAAATCAAGACCCAGATGTACTCTGAGACTCACACGCATGCACAGGTGTGCAATGCACACTGGTTCTCCATTGCACCCTCCATTTATCTACCACTGGATTTGCCCAAAGAGGCCCCACACGCACCACTGCTTAACAGTTACATATGCTGCTCTTTAACAGAATTTGTGCAATGTAGAGTTCAGGCCTAAAAGGCAAAATAGTACTTTTGATTCTTTCTGGCTCTTATTAGTCTCATAGAAAATAGCAGTGACCGTTCTACCTCTTAAGTTAACGTGATGATTTATGTAAAGTAGACAAGTGCAGGGACCCTCCAAGTAGTTTAATTGTTTGTCTTTATTGCAGCTATGATTTTGATAGCCGTTTTCCCAAAAGTGAATAGATTTCATTTACTGTGGTCAGCCTGCCTTTTCCTGTTCCTTTTGGCAGCAGTGCAGAGCAAGCTCTTCACTTCCGTATTCTCCCTGAGCTTTGACGAAGCCGGCGCCCCACACCCGCAGCCCCAGCCCCTTGTCTCGGCCCCGAAGCTCACTGTCTTGGCCATTTTGCTTTCAGCTCCGTGTGGAGGCCAGTACTCGGGGTCCGAGGGCGTGGTCCTGTCCCCTAACTACCCGGGCAACTACACGGCGGGTCAGACCTGCCTCTACGCCATAACTGTGCCGAAGGAATTTGGTAAGCCATTGCCTTTACTTTCTAATTGGTGCCATAGTCCTTTCAGTGCTGATTGCTCTGTCATTCAATAAATGCCCCACATCTTACTAAAAAGACAGCATAAAATAGATTGCGTTGAGGCGGGTTTCCCAAGCCTCTCCACACAGGGTCCACTACTGTTCTCTCACCACCATGATATTACACGTTCGTCTTGCTTCCCAGGAGTCTGACCCAGATGAATCACAAGGCGTGGACGTGGCCCATTCTGTCTCTCTGGGAAATAGCTGTTTTAATTGGATGCTTGTGCGTAGAGGATGATGGCAAAGTAACATGTGCTTCCGAGGTGGATGGGGCAGCAGATCCCTGTAACCCTTGCTACTTGGGAGGCTGAGGCAGGAGGATATTAAGTTGCAGCCCAAGATGACTTGCTAAGATGACTTAGCAAGTCCTTGCCTCAAAACAAAAATAATAAAAAGGGGCTCGGGACCCAAGTCGGTGGTAGAGCTCTTGCTCAGTGTGCTCAGGCTCCCGTATTCCATCGTGGTACTGCAAAGCCAGGAGCTATGGGTGAGGAGCGTGCAGTCTCTCTCTGTGCACAGCCGGCTGGTGGGTTTGGGAGTCAGAGGCCTCAGCCCCTTCTGCATCTTCAGGCTGTAAATGCAGAGTCCTGGTGGCTCCCAGTGCCTTCTCACTCTGCCTCCCCCAGCAGGTTTGCAGACTGACTCTGCGTCCCCTGGCTTCCCAAATTCTGCACTGTCCATGCCTGCCCGCTCTGCCCAGGAGGGCGTCTCCTGTGGGTCTTCCCTGAAGTAAGCCAGCCTCGCTTTTCCAGTCTCACAGGCCACTTCTGCTTTCCCAGTGGTGGAGTTAAAACCCCACCTGGCCAAGGGTTTTGTTTATATTAAGTTAGCAATCACCCATGTAGAAAGAAAGCAAATAAGAATTCTAAGGTCAGCATGTATTGGAGATAAAACATCTGAAGAAAACACAGTTTTATGCTGGGAATTCAGTTGCTGGGGAAGACACTTGCATGTGAGAAACAAGCTCTGGTGCCTCTGCTATGCGTCCACTGGCCCCTTGATCCCAGACTGAGCCACAGGGAAACCGGCCACAGCTGCCCTGCTCAGGAGCCGCAGAGGACCCATGCCTTCGCTGGACCGTCTGTATGGCAGGACTGCTCTCCACTCCCCATGAGGATCGGCCTGTCCAGTCTAAGGCTGAAGGAGGGGCAGAAGGGGATAGGACGGGGACGCACTTGGAAGCCGAGCAGGTCCGCCTCTCAGTGGACTCTGCTGAAGTGGAGACTGACTTCCAAGGGTCTTCTCTCACCCAGTGGTGACAGCACATGGGGCAGTTTCTGTTTCCCACTCTAGGCTGCGCCAGATTGTCTGAAGACCCTTATTTAACCTCAGTCCTGATTCTGTGTTAATGTAGGGAAAGACATTTTTTAACTAAATATTCAATATTTATTCAATTACTTTGACACAAATATTCCTTTTATATTTTATTAATTCAACATACTTAGCAGCCTTATTCTAGCATTATTATTCTAGCATTATTATTCTATTGTATAGCAGCCTCATTCTATTATTATAGTTTATTATAAAATTCTGTTATACGTGCCAATGAAACTATAATTTTTGTGCAGAAAAAGCTCCATTCCCATTCGAAATATTGATTATAATTTCCCATTAAGACCCAATCTGAAAGCTTTGGTGACACGAGCTTTATATGCTATCTAAAGAAAGGTCTGTTTTGGGATATAGGAGCTGTACAGGGTACTCGATAAAACCTTTCCCATCCCACTTTCCCTTTCCTGCTTCTTTCTTCTTTCCGTGGAGACCGATTGATTGATGAGCAATGAGTTCTCCAGTGGAGATGAGTACCACCACACACAGGTCTGTGCCATTCAGCCACACCTGACACACTCGTGGTGCACCATGTGGCCGTGTGCATACTGCAGCACAGAGCTTCTCTGTCCTTACCAGGAAGGAAATCCACTCCCTGTGTGCGCCACTCAAGCTCGAAAATGGGAAGTGACATTTAAGGCAGGACATCAGAGGCCCCATTTCCTCCCTTTCCATCCAAAGGCAGTGTAAAGTCTCGTTTATAAACCAAGATCGGACCACGTTCACATCTCGATAAATACTGGGACTCGCTCTTTGGGTAAAGTGGTAAAATGCATGTGGGTAAAGTGTGGGTCAGGTGTCCAGCCCTGTCCCTCAAGGCCCTGTGATGAGGGCCACTGGCCTTGCAGATAGGTCCTGTTCAGACTCAGCCACAACTGTCAGCTCCAGGATTCTGCTCTTTGTGTTCCACTTGCCATAAAACGCTTCCTTGTTAAGATTCCGACACACGCACAACGGTTCAGTTCTCCTTGTTGGAAGACTAGCAGTAATGCAGTAACCACTCCGGGGCCTTCAGGCCCAATGGCTCTTTCTTCCTACTCTGTCCCAACTCCACACTTCCGGCAGAGGTGGCGGCGTGGACACCCTTGTGCACAGCCTATCTCTCAGCACATGGGTGTGCTGTTTGCTGTGATTTGGAACCCAGGTCAGGGGGCAGGAGCAGGCTTGGGGTCCACCAGGATGAGCTGGGTACCCTTTGGCTACTGACTTCCTGTGCTCTGTGTCCACATCCGGTGTGAAGACCTGGCCCAGGTCAGCGAGGAGAGCCCTGGGGCCGCCTCGGCATCTCCTTCATTCCCCTTGGTTGCTAGCATGGAGCTGGTGATTTTCTTGTAGAAAAGTAGGACGTATGTGCAGCTGTTTCACTGTTATACGAATTACAGAACTGGAGCATTCAGCCTCCAACATGATAAAAATGTAATTGATTCGGGAGGTGGTGGGGCAGGAAGGGTTTTATGAGGCATTCAGAGAGACTGTAATGTTCTCTGCCACTCCGATCTCAGAGCCTCGAGGACTTTAGTAGCCTTCACCCACTGGGGAAATCTGCCTCACTTGTCAGACCCCTTTGTGTTTTCTCGAGGAAGTATTAAAATCTCAAAGTAAAAGCTGTGTCTTAGATGTTTTTAGATGTCTATTATATATGCACACAGTACTCAGGGATGTACCTGCAGATACAACCACGATGTTAAAGTTGGATTGCTTCAGGTGTGCTTATACATTAATTTTTCCACTAGAATACTGACACAAAATTGACCTACACAGTGCCATTCATTGCTCATAATGATTTAGAATGACTGCTGTATAAGGCTTACATAAAAATAAGCAAAGGATAGCTTGCTTGTTGCTTATAAATAGATACCAGGCCACACGTTCTCCTAAATATTGTAAAGACACATTTATTGTCAATTTCACAGACATTGATAAGATTTGGACTGTGAAATATATAGTTACATTTTACTTGCAGGAGGTGTGAACATCCAACCTTATGTACCTGTAGCATAGATGAAACTGTACAGTGGACTCAAACACCCAATTCCTACAGTATCCCGCTGAATCAGGCATAGGACTGAGATTAATGGGAATTAGAATAATAACTTTTGGTGATGAGTTTTAAATTCCTCACCAGATTATCATGCTGCTTGATAACTGTGTTACTTTTCACCAAATGAAATGTCGCTAATTAATCAAAAATAAGTAAGATTCCTATAGAGATGTTCTTATACTATCTTATTGTACTGTTCATTATAAGAAAACAATCCTTTTTAAATGTTCAAATTTTACAGGAAACAGTAATTTTCTTCCTTCTGTGAAGTACTAGAAGATCAAAAAGCAACATAAAATTGTTTAATCACTGAAAACTTAGATGACAGACATTTCTTAGGATAATGATACTTTGCGGGGGTGAAACTTCTTGTTGATTTTGCTTTGATTCTGTGCCCTCTACCCCTTGTCTTCCAGTGGTATTTGGACAGTTTGCCTACTTCCAGACGGCACTCAGTGATCTGGTGGAATTATTTGATGGGACTCATCCCCAAGCCAGGCTGCTTAGCTCCCTCTCTGGGTCTCACTCAGGTAAAATTTCAAGCAATGTTTTCGTTTAATTCCATTGCACTGTGATGGAGATTAATTTCCAACTTGCCTATTTCTTTTCCTTTTTTGATGAATGAGAAATTTAACCATTGTTGAATTTGCAGGTGTGTTTGGCAAAGTTGTATTTTAGATGTTGGAGTTCAGAAGTGTTTTTATCCTGTATATAAAACACCTGGCTTTATCATTTTACTTACCAGGATTATGGAAAATATAATATTTATCTTAGTAAAAGAAGTAAATGTCAGAAAAAAGGGACAATAAGGTGTCTTCTATATTTTGTTTTTTATTCTTTGTGACTTAACCTTCCCCTTGCAGTAAAAACTTGTAACATTTTGTCCTGAGTCATTCCAAACCTGCAAAGACGTGGGTGTAGGAAGCACCCTCAGACTCAGGTGTCCACGGGGCGCTGCCTTCCATCTGACTGATGTAGCAGCTTGTGTTGCTCCCCACCACAGATGACCAGCCGCTTACCAGGCCTTGCTGTGCAGACCTACTCAGTGAATTTACCAAGTAAAGTCAACTGCGTGCGTCACAGATTTTGACCAACCAATGTTAAGATTTCCTAGTTTGTTACTATTTCCTTAGTCCCTGAAAGTCTTAAGACTTATGTTTTGTTCCTTCCTACCAAAGTTGTGGGGAGGAATGCATCAAAGATGTGTGTTTGGAATCCTGGTCTTCAGTACTAGGCTCCCTGCAAAAGCTCTGGCCAGTTGACAGGCTCCCTGCGGTGCCTGAGGAAGGTCCTTCCCCGTTTCCTGTGTGTGCTTCATTTCTTAATTTTTATGTTTCACTGGTCCATAATTCAGAACATACTGACTGCATTCTTCATGAGGAGTTGGCACCCGTGTATAACACATCTCAATTCTTTTTACTTCTCCTCTTCCTCCTTCTCTGTGTGCACTTTAAAGAGCTAAGGGATATATTTCAGAAGACTTTTTCTGAGTCCTTCAATACCTAGAGTGAGTTTGAAGTCAAGGAAATTTTCTTAATTTGAAATAAAATTTTAGCAAGTAATGATCAAATTAAAGTAATTTAAAGTAAAAGATTCACCTGATAGTTTTACCTCCAATATTGTCGGCTAAAAATATTATTGGTCCTTTCTTGAAAAGAGCATAAATGAAACATTGGTTAGAGCTCACTTTAATAGAATGCATGAGCAAGAACAGAGTTTTGAAATCTTTATGAAATCATTATGTTTGGATCTTAAGCCCCAACATGAAATTTACTTTAAAAGCTTAAAAACTTGTGAAATTTCAAGGTAGGGCTTATTTTCCAGAAAACTATGATTTGTCCCAGTGCTGCGCATTTTCTGGATCTCTTGTTTTATCTGTTTTATTTGCAGGTGAAACGTTGCCGTTAGCCACATCTAATCAAATTCTCCTTCGATTCAGTGCGAATAGCGGTGCGTCTGCCAGGGGCTTCCACTTCCTGTTCCAAGGTAAAGGCCTGTCAGCTGCTGCTGTCTCGGCCACTGGCCCTGCCCCTGCTGTCAGACAAGCGGCCAAAAGTGTCTGAATTGCACTGGGGGTACTTAGGGAATTGCGAATACTCATATATTTATCGTAAAATGATTTCATGCAGACATTAGTTCGTCTTTTCACACTTGAATTTGTATTTTGACTAGAAGGACACGATAACATTACCCCAACACTGCCCAAGATGGGGAGATCAGTAGCACCGTGCTCACCTGCATGTCCCGGCCCTGGGTTCGATCCCCAGCATGCATAGCTCTTTACATGTTGCCAAAATGAGTGCAGATAAAATGCTTTATCTAATGCAGAAAACTATTTTATAGTGGTTAGGTCTTGTCACTGCACTAATAAAATGCATTTAAAATGCATAATATATAATTCTGCATCTTATTATTAAAACTATCTTCAAAGACAATTTAACAAAACCAAACAAAACGTAAAATATCACTCAAGCATCTGCCACCGTAACTGATTTCCTATTTCAGATCATTTGCCTTTTATTCACCTTCAATACTTCAATACTTTCCTACTTATTTTTAAATTTGGAGCTTATTTGGGATGGCTTAAAATTCTGTAAAGTAAAGAACTATTTTTCACCTACTGCATTTCCTCTTTGCTTTGCATATTCGTTATTTGAACTTGAAAAACTGCCACATAGACAGCGCAAACACTTTCAGAAGCAGAGAGACACTCTGGATGGAACTGGTAATGACTGACAGGCTGAGATCCGAAAGAGATCACCATCTTCAGAGATAAACTGTGTGTTCAAAAAGAGAAGCAGTGTGTAGTTATTTCAGGTCTCGGTTGTTCTCTGAGACCTTGCAACAGCTTCTTTTCTTTAGTAAAGATGTCTCTATAAAGCATTCTTTATAATATTTTCTCAAAAATATGTAGAATAATAATGTCATCTCATGTATAAATCTTTCCCAGTAACCTCACATTGGAAAAGCCACGCTCTCCAATCCCTCAGTTTTCAGCAGTGAGATTATTTAAAGATTAATGAAAGAGTGGGAGTGATGTTTGACAGGCCAGTGTGAGGCCAAAATATTGTTAATCCCACTTATGTAGCAGTTCATGGAAAGCTGATGCCGCTGAATTAAAAGTAGCTACATAGGGCCGGGGATTTAGCTCAGTGGTTTCGTTGCCTGCTGCGCAAGCCCAAGGACCCGAGTTCAATCCCCGGTACCAAAAAAATAAAAATAAATAAAAAAAATAAAAGTAGCTACATCATTGCAGACTTTAACCTTTATTAAAATATAAATAACTAGTATTAAAACCATTGACCATCAGGGAATGGCAGTTTAAGCAGCCTGCTTCTTTCCACTGCTAATTTTCTTTAACTTCTAAATTACTTTGCAAAAACAAATTCACAAACCATCCTATTGATAAAGAAACTAGACTGACTGATTTTAAATGCCTTTTCCCTGGAAATGTTCAAGTTACTGGTGTTATTCAAGTGTCCAAGGGCTTCCTTTGATTTCTGTAAAGATTCGAACATTATCATATAATGCAAGTGACCCAGTGTCTAGTTTATCTCTATGTGTCATCAGAAAACATGCTTTTTAAAATTATGCTTCTTAATTTAAAACCATACGTTGTCATGAAAATGTAGAAAGGAAAGTAAAACACTGAAGCAGTCCATTTCCCCTTGTTCTTAAGAATATATAATGAATCTAACATCTTCAGTATTTTACAAAGTCTCCATTTACCTCTATTTCTTGTTCTCTACCAGTGAGTGTATATGAAAATCAATGTCACCTTACCAAATCTAAATCCTCTGGAGGTGATGAAAGAGGATCCTGAATGCAATTTTTAAACCACTCAACAGCAACAGGGAAAGTTTTCAATACATATGAAAAGTCAAATTGAACATCGGTTTTTGAGCAGTCATAGTTAAATGAAGGCTTTGAAATTCTCTGAACTCTGTTGTATACCATTTCGCTGAATAGCACTTTCCTGCACCATGCGTGGCTTCGCTCGTGCATAATGTACTGAAGCTTAGAAACCACACACAAGCTTGTGATTTGGTGGTTGTAGGAGGCTCGTCCTGGTTAACAGACGTGCCGATGGCGCCCCTGGACCGGGCTGCCACACGCGTGGGTGAAAAGCACCGCAGTTGAGTCAAAGGGCAAAGACGCATGTGCCGCCGTGGGAGCTGCCATCCCACCTGCAGCTCTTTGGTCCCTGCCTGCCGTGGCACCCTGGGTACTAAGTGGGGGTACGAAGTGGACACACAAATGATGACGATGTCGCCATCGCTCAGACTCCTGAAGAAAGGAACTTGCAGAGAGGCTCAAGATGTGTCCTAAGCAACCTAGGTATTCGCCGAGCTTTGTTTGTTTCCCACACTCTGAGAGCAGGAGGCTGCATTTGTGAAGGGGCAGAAGAGGCTGAATCAGAACACATGGCCCCAAAAAGGCTGGGCTCTGTCCTGGCTGCGGAAGTCACTCGTCAGGAACGAGCCAGAGCCTGGCAAGAGTTTGCTTGGCGCTTTCGGTGTTGTTCAGAATACTGAGGGCCCTGCCAGCCTGGAGGAGAAGCTCGTGCGGTTCACAGGCCCCCAGAGGTGTCAGAAGGGTGGGGAGGACAGCGTGGGCCCCACAGGCCAGGGAGCCCTGACGCCCTTCCCAGTGGCTCCGCCCTTCCTCGCCCTCTGACTGCACCCTCAGCCGAGCCAAGCAGGGAGAAGCAGATGCTGCAGGAGACCTCGTCATAGGGAGGATTCTGAGTGTCTCCTGAATTTCTAGTGTCTAGGACCTTTCTAGCCCTTCTGAGTGGTCCTGAAGTTTCCTCCACTGTAAGCTGACCTCCCCGAGACATGGTAGCTGTGCAGCACTTAGTTTGAGCACTGAACGTTCAGGTTTGTCATTTCTTTGTAGTTATCAGTCCTCAGGTTTTCCCACCCAGCTCCTGGCTCCCAGGAGTCCAGGCTGCGGGGTCTGTGGAGCCGCTTCTGGCTTCTGAGCTCCCTGCCCTGCACTGCCAGCTGTGGCCAAACCCTTTGGTGACCGTCCCATGCTGCGGGCAGTGCATTGCACCGGAGGCCACTGTACACTCAGTCAACGCAGATGTCAAAAAGTGCAACCCACTTCTTCATGAGCCTGGCGCCCTCTCTTCCTCCGGGTGTGAGAGCAGACCTTTGGTTTGTTCTGCAGGCGTTATTTTGCATTTAGCACCTTTGTCTGGACACAGAGTACCTGCGCATCAGCATTGTAGTCAACAGCAGACCCAGGGGCCAGGTAGCAGGGCCGCCTGACCCGGAGCCTTTCCTGTCTGCAGCGAGCACCTGCTCACTTGGGCCGAGCGGCTCCATGCCTTCCAGGCACCACCTCCTCTTACGCCCCCTGGCTGTGCCTGCCATTGACTGTGGCCGGTTACCCTTGGTGTTTGTCCTTAGCATGGCGTGGTGTTGCTTGTCGTTTATGTTCACACCTGATCACATGCAGTCTGTTTCCTTGGGTTCAGTTCCTTGGTTTAGTCCAACAACTCTCAGCTCCCTTCAAGCTACTCACACCAACTTAGTGACCTGTGTAGATTGATTGTAGGTTTCTGGGAGAAAATGAAGCCCTGTTTCCCTGTCCTCCCTGCCCCCGGGCCACGTGGGTTTGTGTGCTGGGCAGAGCCTCAGTGTCCCCTCATCAGGCTGCAGGACTTGCCTTCCCCAGGTGTTGTTACCTGAAAGTCCTCCTCACAGCTAGCAGCCCTAGAGACATGCAAATGCTCCCCGTGTGGACAGGAAAATTTTGAGACTTTCCTAGGTTTCAGCCCTTTGAAGGCATGGAAATACATGTTTGAGTTGGTTTTCCTGGGCCCCTCGCCAAACTCTGTGGCTGCCACCACACCTGGCTTCTCTGAGCCTCAGCTGCCTTCCCTTCTCTCCTGACTGTGGAATCAGCAGTGCTGGCCCTTCAGTGCCTGGCTTATCTCCCTTGGCCCAGTGTCCTTAAATACGTCAAGCACTGCGAGTGCCAAGATGTTCCTTTCATGCTGAATAAAGTCCTTGTGTGTAGGTCACATGTGCAACTAGTTCCGGTGTACGTGTGCATAATTTTCTTTGTCCACTCATGGCTGCTGGACACTTCGGTTGTTTCCACACCTCGGTGGCAGTGAGTACAACTGCAGTGAACATGGGAGGGCAGATATGTTTTGAGGTCCTGAATTTATTTCTTTTGCATGAATGCTCAGGAATCGGGAGTCACGTGGTGGCTCTGTTTCTCCTTTTATTGTCACATCACAATGGCCATGTCATAAGGAACCTTTTACAGAACAGTTTTTCGGGTGGTCTGGAAGGTCGCCGGGGATAAGCACAAGTCTGCTGTCATCTCCTCACCAGCAGCACGGGTGTCTGCGTGCTGCATGAGTCTGGATTGCTGGAGTATGGAGCGGCTGACCGGACCTGGGGGCGGGCACTGGAGGCGGCCCCCGGGTGATCTGCCCCCACCGTGCCTGGGGGAGCTGTCCTCTTGTCACCTCCGCAGAGATCCTTCAAGGCTGCAGTCGCATGTCAGCAGGGATGCGTGTCGGGCTGCCCCTCCTAGGAGGCTGATGGCTGTACCTGTGCCTTCCCCACAGCTGTTCCCCGGACCAGCGACACCCAGTGCAGCTCTGTCCCAGAGCCCAGATATGGCAGGAGGATCGGATCCGACTTCTCGGCAGGCTCCATCATTCGGTTTGAGTGCAACCCGGGGTACCTGCTGCAAGGGTCCTTGGCCATCCGGTGCCGGGCAGTACCCAACGCACTAGCGCAGTGGAACGACTCCATCCCAAGCTGCGTGGGTAAGGGGGTCACGGGCTTGGTGCCAGACCACGCGAGGGACCCAGGCCTCCAGGGAGCTGCTTCTCAGCCACTGCTGGGTCTGCAGAGGTGGCCCTGACCCTGACCTACCAGAGCACCATTTCCTTTACCAGAAATGACTGAGTACAGCTAGATCTTTAATGGTATTGTTTCATAAAACAAGTCATCAGATTCATAAGGACAAAGCATGTTTTCCTCCTTCATATTTACTAAGTACGGTGTCCATCGTAAAGCGCTGGACATGCAGCATGATTCCATCTGGGGAAGTCACCCCGATGTTGATTTGCTGCTGCGTTACTTGTAGATTGCCCTTTTAGTACCTTTGTGCTGAAGGATGCCCGGAAATCCATCGGTTACTGTGGCCGGGATGACAGTGGTGTTAGTTTGCTTCATTCTGTGTAGAAAACTAATGCGTTGAGCTCCTGAGATCCTTGTACATCTTGGGCATCTCCCTCCTCCCGGGAACCCCTCATCCGGTCCACTTGCTCTAGACTTGCAGTCTGTGAGGAAGGACAGTGGTCCTCCCTGGTCCTTGGGCTGCGCAAATAAATTATTCTGAGCAGAATGCACTCTGCAACATTGTTATGAGCTGTCACTTCTCACACATCCCGAAAAGATTTATTCTCAGACTCAGGATCCAGAACCTAGTTGCGTAATTGATAATTATCATTGATGCTGCTAATTTAAAAGACTGAACTTTATCTCGACTAGAAATGCCATCTAAAATATCACAGTGCAGGTGAAGTTTCCCTCGCTGCGTGATCACAGAGCAATAGAAAACGAAAGGTCAAACGCCTGTGGTCCTCACTGTTTCTCTTTCCTGAAACATGGCTGTGTCCTTCAGTTCCCTGCAGTGGCAATTTCACCCAGCGGAGAGGCACAATCCTGTCCCCGGGCTACCCTGAGCCCTATGGCAACAACCTGAACTGTGTGTGGAGGATCGTGGTGACAGAGGGCTCCGGGATTCAGGTGCGTCGTCCTTGCAGCCTGGAGTCTAAGTGCCGGGCTGGAGCTCTGAGGGCTTCTGGCTTCGGCTTCCTGCCTCCGCTGCCCTCCCCTCTCCTCTTCTCTTTCCCTTTCTCTCCCTCCTTCTCCACTTCCCTTCCTGCCCTCCCTCCCTCCTTTGCATCCTTCTGTTCTTTTCTTTCTCTTTCCTTTCCTTTTCTACCTTCTTTTACTTTTCTTTTTTCTGTCTGCTTTCTTTTATATTGATTTTTTTTTTTTGGTACCGGGAATCAAACTCGGGTCCCTGTGCTTGCACAGCAGGTGGCGAAACCACTGAGCTAAATCCCCGGCCCCTATAATGATTATTTTAAATGACACAGACCATAATCTATTCATCTTTTCTTAATAATTCCACAAAATCCTTTCTAATAATGTTATTCTATTTGGAATAAAAATAACTGATTTGGGAATAAAAACTATAAGGTACCGTTTTCAGAGATTTTTGTGCCTAATTCCATGCAGCATTTCCTCTGGTTCAGTGTCTATTCCGGTTAGTCCAGATGCTCCTTGTCTGACCAGGTGGATGTCACCTGGCCACGGCTGACGTCTAACTGAACCCTCTGCCTTGGTAGATCCAAGTGATCAGCTTCGCCACGGAGCAGAACTGGGACTCGCTGGAGATCCATGATGGGGGGGACCTGAGCGCCCCGAGACTGGGCAGCTTCTCAGGTAAGGGAATCAGCACCACCCAGCCCTGGGGCCTTTGCAGTGGACCTCGTCCCTCTCCAGGACAGGCCCTCAGGGTTAGCCCAGCCAGGCCCAAGGGGAGGGAATGAAGTGGGGCCCGGGAGCAGGCGGCTTGGCTGTTAGACCCCAGGTTGGCCTGGGTGGTGGAAACCAGGGCCAGTCAAGAGTGGGCAGCTGGGAACACATGCAGCTGGGCTGCCAGAGCCCTGCCGTCTGCCTCCGAGAAAGGGGCCTTCTCCACCCGGCCCTGCTCCGCTCCTCGGCACCCGAGCCTTGGCCACCTGCAGTGCCATCTTCCCCACGGTGCCCAGGCCCCACCCTTCCATGCCACACAGTGCCATTCCGGCCTCTGAAAGTCGCTGGCCCTGTAGTTCTGGTACCGCAGACAGCAACCCCGCTCCCCCCTCGCTGCTCCCCCTTCCCTGGTCAGAAGAGCAGAGCAGGGCGAGTCTCCATCCTGGGATCCTGGGGACCTGGGACCAAGGGGTAAAGGCTGCCGATGCAGGGTGACAGTGCCTCGGGGCCTCGTGCCTGAGCGTGAGGGATGAAGACAGGGCCCACAGCCAGAGTGGGGCCTGAGGAAGTTCCCGGGAGCCTGAAGGGCGGGGGCTCACGGCCTAGAAACACAGGGAGGAGAGTGAGACCCGGTTGGGTTCCCCACGTCTGCAAAGCGGAAACGGGGCTGGGGAGGGGAGAGCAGCCCAGGCGTGCTCGACGTGAATTAGAGGTGCTGATGTGAGCCTGTGGTTTTAGTGCATGGTTACAGACATGAATGAAAACCTGAGTGTGTGCACATGTGTGTGTATACACCCCTGTCCTACCTCCGTCTCTCAAGAGATATAAAATAATAACAACCCGGCAGCTGTGAGCTGATACTAGGGTGGCTAGTACCAAATCATGACTTTGAAATGTTCCTCCAAATGCGGTTCTTCTCTTAAAGAAGCCAGTGCTGTGTTTTGGCTTTTTTTTTTTTTTTTTAGAAATGTTGACTCCAGGGCTTTGGTAGAACAAAAAGAAAGTTCATTATTTTGCATATAATGGAATAAATTGTGGAGGAAAGAGAAGCTTCCCCACTGCAGATGCCAGCTTGCAGGCAGATGGCAGGCTTGGCAAGGCCTCCTTTGGCGGTGACCGTATGACTGGCCAGGCTGGTCCACACACAGTGCTGAAGTGCTGATGGGGGTCCGAGTGCTCCCCGTCCCCATGCATCTCCCCCAAATCCATGCCCATCTTGAGGACAGAAGCAGAGCCGTCAGAGGGGACGTCCCAGCGCCCACGCCCTTTGCCAAGTGCGCATGCTTCCATCCTCGGAATGCCTGGCTCTCGGGGTCATTTCAGATATTGACAACAGAGCCCATTAGCTATGGTGCCAGGGTCCTCTCTGCGCTGGCCGCAGCAGTGACCTGCTGTCCCTAGCTGCACTAGGAGGAGATACTCTCAGCTCCTGGAGACCCTGGCCAGCGCCTCCCACCACCTAGGGCCTGAGGGCTGTGAACTGCCAGAAGGGACACACACAGAAGGGTCACCTCGGGACTCCCACCCCAGTGCCCAGCCTGAGTCCTGAGCAGCAGCAGACAGACTCAAACCAAACAATAATCCCCAGAAACTGGCTCATGGATTTCAAATATGAAAAGATCAAAACAAAGACTGGTGAAGAGCCTTCGAGACTGATGGAGTCTTAAGAGGAGTGGTGTGGATGCCCTGGGCCATCTGGAAAAACTCTACCAAGTTAAATGCGGTCTGGAGTGTAGACAGCCACATCAGTCTTGTTTTGGAGGGAACTGTTGCCTTTGAGAAATCTTCATCAGATTTTTACAAGAAGTGAGAAACCATATGTGCAACTTTTCCAAAAATAACAATAAAATTCTAAAACAGGTACAAATGCTTATGTATTATAGATAAATAGAGATGACATAATTGTGTAATATACTTAGAGATGCTGGATGTGTCAGACCTTTTGTACTATACTTAAAACGTTTTTAGCAAGAAGTTATTTCAAAATTTTTAGAATGAGTTTGAGGCAAAACATTATATGAAAACAATGACACATCAGTGAAGAACTTTGAGAATTTTAGGACGTAATCAATATTTAAACACTTTTATTCCTGTGATACTTAAAAATATTTATAAAGGCACTATTAAGCTCATTTAAAAGCTAGTTGTTGAATAAAAACAAGTAGGAATGAGCAGTTCTAGAAGGTACATATTTCAGGAGAAAGGATTGACACCTTTAATATATTCAGTGCTTTGATTTTTCATTTCTGCTTGGACAGGCAGAGATGGAGGGCTGTGTTTCTGAAGCGATTTAAAATCAGTTTTGGAAGCAAGCAGGTTATAAATTATAAATGAATGAAGCAGCGCAAAATGCATACAGATTTGTAGCTGACAGTCAGTATTAGAGGGAAATAAATACCAGTGTCTGAGGGTGGGATCTTCAGGGACAATAATAAAATTTCCCAGTTTACTTTGTTACGCGTTGTTCTATCTAGGTCACAGTAAAACAATGTGACCAAAAGTATTCTGCCTGTGGCAGTAGTTCTTCAAAACCTCTCAGTTGCATTTTGAGTGAGGAATAAGCGCCTCCGATGGTCTCCTAGGAGCAACAGCAGAGTCCAGGCACCACCTGGGCTGTCGCCCAGCTGGGGACCCCCGTTGTCCTGTGTGCCATGTGGGCCCCGAGCTCCTGCGCCCTGTGTGGCCTGGAGGGAGGTCATGCTTCATCACAGATGTGCAGCAGGGCCATCCCTCCCAAAGCCACTGCTGAAACTATTAAGGACCAATTCGTAGGACAGGTTTTCTGTGTCAGCTTCTCGTTGCTGTGACAAATGCCAGAGAAAATCAGCTTGAGGAAAGATTGATTTGGGATTTGGCTCATGTTGTGGCCAGGAAGAGGAGAAAGAGAAAGGGGTACACTCTCCTAGTGACCGCTCCCCAGACCCCTGCTCCTGCCAGCACCCCCAGCTCTGTGTCCTGCATGAGGCCCCTGATGGGCTCAGCACCCCAGGACCCGAACACTTTTCAGAGCCACCACTGAACTCAAGATGCTGGGCTCACATTTAGATCTGAATCACAACAACTTGATAATCCGCAGACTACTCTCATGTCTGCAACTCACTGATCACACACATGTAAGATACATATAATTATTGTAAAGCACTTCAGAGCATATTAAAATTTTGTAGGTGCCTTAGGATGACAGAGTTAACTTGTAGCAGAAGCAGGAGTGGAGGTGGTTCTCTGATCCTACTGGGATCCAGCCATGGAAGATGGACAAATAAAAAGGTCAAACAACATGGACCGAATGTTTGCATGTCCACATCACCATGCTTGGAGCTTGAGAATTAATTTTAGACTTGCATGCGCTAGAATCTCACCCCTTAAGGGGGTGCGTTGGAAAAATGGAAGCAAGACACTTGGGAGCAGAGGACAGACTCGGGCTCTGAGCGTGTGTGGCTGCTGGGGTTTGGAGAAGGTGGATGGAGGGAGTGACTCTCCAGGACTTGGGAGGAAGCCATGGAGTGGGAAAAGCTACTGAGCCTCCGCAACCTCAGGAGAAACCAGGCAAAACAGTGCTGATGATGTCCCCAAAACACACCAGGTTGGCGCTGCCAGCTGAGCAACGCCTTTTGGATCTTTCCACCTCATCCCCAAAATGCAGCAGCAGCACAGCATGAGGGGCAGCAGGCATCTCGGAAAGGTGGCACCCCGTTTCCGGCTGATGTCCGTGTCTGTCTGGGAGTTAGAAAGGTCTGGATTTGGGCACTAGGAGCAGTGGTGGGCACCTCCTGGCTCCTGTCACCACGCCCCCCGCGGTCAGTCTCTGTGATGGTCACAGCCTCCCTGTTCTCAGCAGAGGCCTGGGGAGCAGGGCGCCCCACCCTGCAAGAGTCACCTCCTGGGTGACGGCCAGCTCCCTGCCCACAGCCATTCAGCTTCAGAAACTCCCCGTCCTTTCTGGACATCTGTCACCTGTCTGACCTCCGATGGCCGGGCTCTCCTCCCTCCCTCTGGAGCTGTCTGTCCCTGTGTTGCATCAGGGCCAGCCAGCAGGGGGTGGAATCAAGTGCCCTCTCTGTCTCCTCCACTCGCACTCACAGTGCTCTTCCAGGGCTGCTGCGCCGAGGGTTTGGGCCTGAAGAGGCCACAGCTCTGGAACCAACTCCCCGTCGCAGGGGCGGAAGTGAATTGTGGCACAGGCCCAGGCTCCAAAGGCTGTGGGCACCGCACCCTGTCCACAGGGCCTGGGTGCGGAGTTCTCTCTCCTCCCCTCCTTCCCTCACTGTTCACCTGCTAGCATGTTCCAGGAAGTGTGGGCACCGACTGGCCAAAGATGCTGGCACTGCTAGGTAAGGAGCACGGGTGAACTTCTGTCCATCCTGTGAAATATGCTGTGTGCTGAGCCAGGGGGGGTGGCGCACGCCTGTCGTCCCAGCTCTCTGGGAGGCTGAGGCAGGAGGATCACAAGTTTGAGTCCCACCTGGGCGATTCAGCAACTTTACAAGACTCTGTCTCAAGTAAAGGGGATGGGGTAGGGATGCAGGATTCAATCTCCAGTACCACAAATAAATAATAAAAGCTTCTGTATGCTAAACTCAGTGAGAAGTCCTTCATGTGTCCTCAGATTGTAACCAACAGACACTTGGTTGCTTTTAGGCAATTAGTTCGTCTTGTTCCCCTGGAGCTCTTTCCACTGGAGGGAGCTGTGAGTCAGCACCGCAGGCACCGGCACCCTGCGGGACCTGCTCTGCCCTTGGGCTGCCCAGGTCCCAGGCAGGCGTTTGGGAGCAAGGAGGAGGCGAAGTGATGGCAGGAAGCTGGGAGCCCCGGCCCGCCAGCTTCCTCCAGGGAGTCTCTGCGGTGTGTTCCTGGCGGGCCTCGGTCTCTCTACACCCTGCATGCACATCCTTAAAGGACTGCATGGCAGGGCGAGGTAGACCTCCCGGGGGTCGCTGGCCGAGCTGCAGCTGCCGGGGACCCCGAGTCTCTGAGGGAAACCAGAGGGGCAGAAGGCCTTTCATTTTCAGAGTGTTCACCCCCTGAAGACTTACAGACTTCCTTGACTGCTTTTCTTTCTTCACACACTGGTGCTCCCTTCCGCCCGTGGTGAGTGTCACCTGGTGGACATTCCCTGGGTACCCATCACGCCTGTCCCTTCTCAGGGCATGAGGTCAGCACAGTAGAGAGCCTGGTGCACACTGTGGGGAAAGTTCTTCACTTTGCTTACTGACCTCGGGTGACCATGCGTGGTGCAGAACTTTCTTAAGCTGATGACCTGACCCCGTTTCTTTCCCAGCACTGTGCTGTGTGCGGACTCCACTCTGCCCCTGCCTTTCTCCTGAGGTGCCGGCCGCCCCCACAGGCCGTGCCTTTAACTGAAGGGAGCCTCATGTGAGGTAGATGTGTGCTTTGTGTCTCACATGTGTGTGGGGAACGTTTTCAGACCTCGTGGGAACAGCGGAAGGGTTCACAGGTCACACGCAGCCTCTCCTGGCACCCGGGCACCCGGGTGGCTTCTGACTGATGTGCAGCCCCCAGACTGCAAGACTGGGGTGCTGGGATTCAGTTCCTTTGTTCATGCTGAATGCAGCAATTCAAAAAACATTATGTTGTTTAATAGCACTGAGAACCCCAAAGTCTCGGCAAAGATGAGGCTGTGTGTGGTGCCCTGGGGTGCCAGTCTGAGGCCCAGCGTGATGCGGGTCTTTCCGTCCCAAGGAAAGCAGCATGGCCACATGAACCCTGGTGCAGTCCACAGGCAGATTAGAGGTGCGCTGCTCAGCCCGCCCGCCTCGGGGACTTGTGACCGGAGTGCGTGCAGGTGAGGCCCAGCTGTGCTCTTTCTTGCAGGGACCACGGTGCCGGCCTTGCTGAACAGCACCTCCAACCAGCTGTACCTGCACTTCCAGTCTGACATCAGTGTGGCCGCGGCGGGCTTCCACCTGGAGTACAAGAGTAAGCGCCCTGCGTCCGCGCCTCTGACTGTCCCCTGCAGTCACTGCCCTAAATCCCTGCTCCTATTAATCAGTGACCTGTGGTTGGTCAACAGTGATGTTTTAGATTTGCATCAAGCTGAGCCTTAGCAGACTGAGGTGCTATGGAGAGCACCTTAAAATGAAGAATTGCTTGTAAATGTGGACTCCAGTGTCTGGAATAATTACCTGTTGTCTCGGTTACCTGTGGCAAGGGCACAATGGCCAGCACTTGTAATGACACCAGTTTTCCTATCAGTGTTAGCAAATGTCCCTATTAGTGTCCAGAGCCATAGAAAAATCTCAATTTCCAAGTAGACTGTCATAAGCCTTTTCCATTTCTAGTCTCACAGGCTGCCAAAATGGGAACTAGCAAAGAGGAGTCATTCAGGGTCACGCGCGTGTGTTACTCATTTTAATTGGGAGAAAGCACCACCGAGGAGACTCTAACCTTTGCAGAAGGATGTGAGGGCGAGTTAATAGTCTGATAAATGGGATGACAAAGGTCAACCTCACAAATCTCCCAGGGCGTTTGATTACTCAGGTAGACCTTGTAAAAGTGAAGAGTGAATTTCCAATGAGAGAGGAGTTTATTTTAGGACAAGTTTTCAAGCACTAAAAATGCTTGATGTTGGTATTTATCTCCTTTAATAAGCAGTTGCAAATAAGCAAATACAGGGATAAGCTTTAATAAGTGATTTTTTGAATTGAAATAAATAGTTCACTAGGATGTAATGCATGCATCCTTTGAAAGGCCAGATTTCCAGCTGATAATAAACATTCTGAGCCAGTCACAACCCACAGGCCTGTCTCACATTCTGCTTAAACCCCTGCTTATTGCAGGCATCAGTATGCAAGTCCCTTCTGATGCATATGAATTGGGCAGCTTTAGCAACAGCAGCAACGGATACTATGGATGTTATTTATGTAGGACATGTCTGGGAAAATCTGCTACTTTGATACATTTCACACACCTCTGTAGATAGGAAATATAAACCTTATTTATGATAGTGCTAATATATTCATGGATATTTTTGGCAGCGTTAGAACTGATAAATGCTCTTCTGCCTCTGAAAGTTATCCTGTAGTTTCTGGTTTTATGTTTACTTTTCATGGGAAGAGATGCTGATAAATAATTAGTCTCTAATAATTGGGTGCCATTATTGAGTACTCATATGGGATCCAGCACCATCAGCATACTTAGCTACATTCCACTTTACTCCTCCTCAGTAAAATCCTCTGAAGGAGGGGATTAACCTATTTCTCCACGATGCTAACCTTGTTCAAGAATGAAAGGACTTACTTGAGAATATAAGTTTCTTTAAAAAATTACCAAATGCATTTATTTTTTGCTCAGCCAAACACAGTGCCGCATCTTCACCCGTCACTTTCTTTCTCAAGTGGTCGTTTTCTGAGGCTGATACCATCGTGATAGTCCAGCCCTTTGAATATTAAGAGGAAGTCATTTCCTTGCTCTCTTCATGCCAGAGTTTGAAGTATAGATTTTATAAAGCATTTTGAAAATTAACCTTACTAACATCAGCATCAAATGACACAAGGACTTTTGATGTACATCGCCTTGTCGAGAGTTTCTAGTAATTAACTCCATGGACGCATCTGGACATCTACCTTAAAATATATATTGCCAATCCGCAAACCTCTAAATTAAAGTTTGTCACTAAAATATATATCCACAAAATAAATAAGAAGGCGACTGTAAGTTCAAAGTATATACCCTGTCCTGCTCAAAATCTGTCCCAGCTGCTTATTCACTGTCCTCAAACAACCCCGCTCTTCAAGGTAGGCTAGCAGCAGAGCCCTCAAGTGGCCTGGATACACTGTCCAGCTGAGGATGGAAGGGTCGGGGCATGCAGAGGCCAGGAGGGAGCTCAGCAGGACTCCGAGGCCCCTCACAGACCCCTCTCAACAGCACTGACTCGAGCTCAGCAGCAGCTGGACACGTGTGGCAGACCAGCAACACACGCCTGTGATCCAGTCACTCCCCAGAGCCCCACCTATGTGCACGGGAGGCCTTGGGGGGCACCTCCGTGTAAGGCTTGTGCTGACAGTTGCATCCCCTGCACGTGGCTCCCCCTGCCTTCAGGGCCCTGCCGTTGTCTTCCCAGCCTGCGTGTCCTTGGACTCTGCCTGCCAAGGCGCTCTTCTAGCCTTTCTGGCCCTCCTCCCCAGGCAGACAAATCCTAGCTGCCGCTGGTGCTGGGGAGACACCAGCCTGTGCGTGGGGCTCGGATTCCTGTGTGGGATGGGCTGGGTGCTCCCCTGCCCGAGCTGCCCAATGTCCCCTGGGCCCTGGCTGCAGCCAGGCCTGGGAAGTGTGTGTGCCCTGCCCACTTCGGGTCTAGGGCCCAAGGCTGCCCTGGGGCTTGAGGTAGGAGTCGGAGGGAGGGGGAGCCCTGGTCTGGGTCCTCTGAGACCCGTGCTTGGCATGGCCAGCCTGCCCCACTGGGCCTGTCCCCCCAAGCCGCCCAGAGAAGCCAGCGAGGTTCTCTCGCCCATCCTTGTCTTTTAAAGCTGGGGCAGCTGGACGCCTGCAGCCTCTGCTCCCAACAGCCTCGGGCGAGCTCCTTACAGGAAAGGGCACTTCATTTCGCAGATCTCCACGTCCCAAGTGGATGGGATTTTCAAATTGCTCTAATTCAAGAGGTTTTTTAATTGAAAGGTTTAAAAATTGCTCTAGTGGGTTTTTAAATTGCTCATGAGGTTTTAGGCATTTTAGATTGCTATAGAGCCGGGGTAGCTATATGCATGCTAAAAATATGTTTTCAGGTTAGCTGCGGGAAAGCGAACCTTGAGAGCCCACCCTGCAGAGAAATCGTCACTCTGTCTTCATCACCCCCTCTAACTCACGCCTAACCTAAGTAGTGAAATCTGCGTCTTCCTAGCTGTGAAAAGCTGATAGGTATTCACAGACGTTACAGAACTATACTTAGGGTAGACTGTGTCTACAGTGCAGATGAACGGTTACAGGGAAGCCCCATCTAATTGAGAATCGGTCCCCATTTCAAGACTGATTGCAGTAGAAACTATTTATTCGGAATTTTATGCATAGCAGTGTGTGTGTAAGGGTCACGTTTTAAAGTTGGAGCCGTCTGCTTTATTTTTCAATCTTCATGAGTACATCTTTGCCGTACATGACGGTTACATGCCACTCGCCTGTTGGCTCCTGCACAGAACAGCGGCCTCTACTTCTGCCCCACCCTTCTCTTCCCTCCCTGCTCCTTCCAACCCCTGCCCCTCCTCATTGGAGAAAGCTCTATTTACGTCTTTTTCTTCAATGCTTCTTTTTCCATTCCCTTTCCATCCCCTCCCTCTCCCTTCCCTCCATGTCTTGTTCCTCTTCCCATTTCAAAAAGATCTCCCTACTTCCTATTATCTATATGTTATTTTGTCCTTTATACTTTGGGTTTCTCGTGTAAGAGAAACCAGGTGATATTTAAGCTCAAGTGTCTGATTTATTTCACTTAACATTATGTTTGCACAAGGCATCCTCTTCTCCGCAAATGACTCCTTTATCCTTCCTTATGGCAGAGTAGCACTCCACTGTGTGTATCTGCCACATTTCTGAAATTCATTCATCTGTCGATGGACACATAGGTTGCTTGAGAGATTTAGCTCTTGGGCTGCTATAATCAGTCTTACTGAATTTGCCTCCAGTCCTGGGTGAATTCACACTCTTCTCTGTCTTGATGTGTTGGAGGAGCTGTGAGCTCTGGGTGTGAGGCAAGAGGCTATTCTAAGTAGAAATCGCACTCAGCACACTGGGCTCTGCCTCAAGTGGGCAGGGTGCTGAGCCATGGCAGCCCCAGGCCTCTGCTGAGGATGGGGCTGTCACTGAACCGCCTCTCTCAGGAGGTGGCTCCCACCCACACATACAATAGGGAGCCCTGTGTGTGAGGGGCAAGTATTTCCAGGAGACCAGGAAGGCCGGGCAGAGGAGCCGCGTTGCAGCTGGGGTCACACAGGCTGCTGGCCTGTGAGCGGATCGGCATGTGGGAAGCATGGGAGACGCTGCAGATGGAGCAGAACAGGGACAGCGGGCTGCGGGTCGACAGGGGAGGGAGTTGACCACCAGGGAGGGAAGAGAGACAGGAGGGAGAGGGAAAGGGAGAGAGACAGAGGGGGAGAGAGGGGAGAGAGAGAGAAAAGAGAGAGAGGGGGAAGCAGCAGAGGCAAAGAGAGACAGCTAGAGAAACAGGAAAAGAGATGCAAGGCGAGGAAGAGAGAAAGAGAGATAGAGAGAGAAAACACAAGACAGGAAAACATTTCAGTGTTACTCTTTACAACAGTTTTGAAAAAGCTTGATTGTAGTTATTATGAAGAAGAGAGAAACTCAGAATCAACCTAACATAGCAACTCTTGCATTGTTTAGATTGAATGCTGTAAGATAGGTTTAAGTTTAGGTTATTTTCACATTTTTAGCATTCTTGAAAATTTAATGCATTAACATTAATTAGTGAAATGATTCTTGATCATTATAAAATGAATATAGGATATATACTATTCCATGTTATTGATAAAGACATTTTTACAATTTATCTAGAGAATTTTGTAAAGTAATGTTACTATTTCAAGGATAAGTTCAAGACATACATGAAGAAGTCACTTCTTTTTATATTCATTATATAATTAGTAGTTAGGTGTACAATGAAAAAAATGAATGACTATCCAAGAATTTATTAAAAAGATACATAGTTAGATGCCTAAAAATGAGACTGTCTAGATTCTTAAACTTGTAGCCCATCTTTTCTTAAATATATATTTGAAATTATTCAAACCAAAAACAACCAAACTAAAGAGAAAGCTATAAATGCCTTTAGCCACTCATATGAAAAGAATTAATATTATGCTTTAATTTTAGCTTTGAGCTTTATACCAATTAAAGTGAATAGCATTTATTTACATAATTCTCTTTTAAACAACAAAAATATAGTAATTAATGTAGAGAAGTAAGCTCCTTGTCCT